AGCCATACTGTGTATAGAAAAAAGACCCATACAGATAGATATTTAAACGGAGATTCTCACCACTATCCTTCACAGTTAGCTACCGTGGGTAAATCTTTGTTTCAGAGAGCACGAGGGATCTGTGACAGTAAGCACCTGGCTGCCGAGCTCCACCATGTCAAGCAAGTTTTGCATGACAACAAGCTTCGGGTCCCGCGCCTACGTCACAGTGAACGAGTGAAGCCGGCCACAGTTGAGCGTGTACCTGCTGTACTGCCATATGTTAGAGGAGTCACTGACAAGATTGGCTACATCTTGAAGCGCGGTTCCATCAAAACATACTTCAAGCCGCCGAAGAAGATTGGTCAGTTTTTACCGTCAGTCAAGTATAACGTCCCTCTGCAAGATGCAGGAGTGTACAAGCTTGATTGTGAATCTGGTCTCTCCTACATATGACAAACTAAAAGATCAATTTAAAATTCGCGTTAAAGAACATATAGCTGATGTGAAGAATCGACGCTCCGGGAAGTCTGCAGTCTGTGAACACATACAGGATCGCCCCCGTCACTACATCAGATTTGATAGACCACAAATCCTCGCTAAAGAACACCGATTCCTTCCAAGGATGATTCGCGAGGCTATTGAAATCAAAAAACATCCTAATTTCAATAGAGAAAATTGCTGGGTGCTATCATCTGCTTGGGATCCTATAAAAAATAAATTAAATCCCAACCCAAGCATACAAATGCAAGAATTCAAGATACCATAAGTTCATACTGTGTAGATCGGAACAATAGTTAAATTTTAATCTATAGTAACCGCGGTTAACTAGGACATCTGGACGTTGAACATCTCAATCCCCCCCCGTGACCATGGGTGCTGTAAAGCTCTCGAAACGTCGGGTATTTAAAAAGTTAAATATACGCGTTAAATTCCGTAAAAACTAGTATTATTTTTACTGTTTCTTCAATATTTGTTGAAGCATGTGCCCATTTCACAAAGGATCATTGGGCAAAAGTGGTAGAAAAAAAAAACAAAAAAAATATTATGGATGACTTTGAAAGTGATATTAATTTTGACTGTATTATTGAAAATCAAACAACGACAGCTCAACTAGTTGTACTGAAAGTGATTGAATAAATTTACTTTTAATTTATAGTCAACCAAATCTAAGAAATACATTTTGACAGCTGTCAGATTCATCGCACCAGGCATGCCAATCAAAAAATGGGAACGTACAATATTCGATTCTTTAAAAAATCGATATCGATTATTTAGAGTTTGTAATCACTAAGTTTGGTTTGAATAATACCAGAATTAATTTAAAACACAAGATTTATCAGTTTCTTCGTATTTGTTGTTACTGCTTGTTTCTAGAGGCACAGTTATAAAAATTTAAGATTGAAACTAGATTGAAAATAAATTTATTCAATCATTTTCAGTAAAACTAGTAGATATGTCGTTGTTTATATCAATTATTAGATTTTCAATAATGCAGGCAAATGTCTCTTTCAAAGTCATCCATAATAATTTTTTTGTTTTTCTACCACTTTTGACCAATCATCCTTTGTGACATGGGCACATGCTTAAACGAATATTTTTTTATAGCACTGGGTGACAAACGAGCACACAGTCCACCTGATGTTAAGTGGATGCTATGGCCCATAGACATACATATTTATTCTCAATTCAGAATCAAAATGCAAATGCGTTGTCACCCCAGAGGCTTAAAATGGAATGCCTCGATTCCAGTAAAAAGGGTCGCCGGTTCTCTACACTCACCATACGAAACACAGCAGCATTACGCTAATATTTTACGCTGGCATTCTGTGAGAGCGTGGTCCTGCCCCAGTTGAGCCGACCCATTCGTGCTACAACTGTAATATAGATGTAGCGTGGCTCTACCACGTACAAAAATTTATTATAAGAAGAAACAGTCCAAAAAGTTAAAACAGAGTATAACAAAATAAGAAGACAATACATATACAACAACAATAAATCACAAAATTACGCACAGTAAGCTCTGGAAACACAAACAGAAACATTTTTATTCAATATAGATTATGAATAATACTTATTGAAAGTCACTTTTTTCATTTACCACTGGTTCGCAAAAAAAACTTTTGTCCTGGGAAGAACCAACAAGAAACCCAACGGGCCTAGTTTAAAATAATAAGAGATTACAATCATGCGTGTTACAATTAACAACACAAAACAAATTAGAAATAGTTTGGTAGCGATCACCCTTCCTAGGAGTTATTATCATCCATAAATTCCGTAATATTAAAATAACCCTTTTTATACAAACTTAGTTTAATAAAGTTTTTAAACTATGTATACTTACGTCAAATTTTGTATATTTTCTGGGATTTTGTTGTAAAAGCGTATACATCGCCCCAAGAATGAATTACTGACTGTGGAGTCGAGTAACTGGTACCTAAATGGCGGGATATTGAAATTATGTAGTGGTTATTTTAGCACGGCCTTGTATATGATTTTTGCCTACACAAATTTACTTTGACAAAGTAAAAAAATAAACTTGCTTTATTCATGATTCACATAATTTGAGGAATTTTGAAACTAAAAATTAAATTAAACAAATAATACATTAAAAAAATTAATGATTCGATTATTTGAAAATTTATACCGATTATTTGAATATTTTGCCGATCATTCGCAAAACAACGAATTTTAATCATCCAAGCACTACGGTAATATACATGGCGACATATCATTAAAACGACGTCAAGTAAAAAAAGTTAATACTGGTTATTTTTTAATATTTTGTTTTGTTTGAAAATTTCAAATTTAAGTTAGTGATAAAAAACTATACACGTTGTAATGACATATAGATAACTTCATAATTCTTCGGATTTACGTAAAAGGTTATTTTAAATTCTGTGAGTACGCTGGTGCAAAGTTATTGCGAAATGATTAATGTGAAACGTCAAAAGGTATTTCTTAGATTTGGTGGACTATAGTTATAATCTTAAATTTTTATAACTGTGCCTCGAGAAATAAGCAGTACCTAACAACAAATACGTAGCAACTGATAAATCTTGTGTTTTAAATCATCCGTTTTTAATTTATTCTGGTATTATTCAAACCAAACTGTAAATGATTACCAACTCTAAATAATCGATATCGATTTTTTAAGAATCGAATATTGTACGTTTTTAGTTGGCATGCCTGGTGCAATAAGTCTGACAGCTGCCAAAATGTATTTCTTAGATTTGGTTCACTATAGCTTGCTACATGGAGTATTACCGTAGACACAGAATCCAATAGACGGCGGGGTCGCGTAACCGCTATTTTGCCTTTCATTCTTAAATCACATTGCTGCTATTTTGGCAATGTTGAGATTTTGTTTGGGATGCGTACGTCAGTAATTCTAGGCCACATTATTCACATGTTATTAAGATAGGATAATTAAAGCAAATTAAACAAATATGTAACGTTAGTATCAAGTATTAAAAATATTATTTTATCAAGAAAATCATCTGGGGGCACAGCAGTGCCCCCGCCAAGTCGAGCAAAAAAAGCGGCACGACCGTACCATACTTTTCTCAAAGCAATTCAGGTCACTTTCGACCCCTATAACTTCGTAGAGGATAAAACTAGAAGCCTGAATTTTCAGTAACCGAGTAGAAATTGTATAAACATGGTATATTTTAAATTTCATTCAATTTGAACCAGTATTTTAAAAAGTACGAGTATAACTAGTCAAATTTTCTTAATTTTGTCACTCACTTACTGACCGATCATCAAAACTCTAAGGCACTTCTAGCAGACATAGAAGCTTCAAATTTAGAATAAAATTAGTAGTTAGTTAATCAAGGAAAAACTAAAATATTTTTTAATTTCGGTCCAGTTTTCTAGATACATCATCTGTATATAATAATTTTGTAATCTCATATAAATATATAGAATTACAACGTTACATTTGCAGTGAATGAATTAGTGTACTTGTATATGTATAATAGGTGTAGATAGGTACGTTGTTGGTATTCAAGAAGTAGAAGGTACCGGAAAGGAAAAAAGTAGGACTAAAGGCTTCGTCAGACAGGACGCGAATTTTAGCACTGCGTAGTAGCGTTATAGCGTCCCGTTTTAACGTCGCACGAGGCTTCGTCAAACAGAACGCTTTAGCGCGCGTTAGGGCGCTGACTCGATGACACGGCGCCGCCATTTCGCTTCGCCAAAGCGTAGTGCAGATCGTTAGCAGTGTGAAGAGTTTGTTCGTTATGGAGATGTCGAGTGATTCAAATGTGGAAGAATTATTACTTTTATATGCTTTATCACGGTCACAGAGAAAAAGAGTATGGGTGCACGACATCAATCAAAAGAGAAAGGATTTAGAAGAATATCATCGTTTGTGTCGTGAGCTTGCATCACATGAAGATCGTTTTTTTACATACTTTCGTATGTCTCAAGATTTATTCGAAGAACTACATAAACTGCTCATCCCAAAAATAAGCAAATGTACCACAAACTGGAGGACGCCTATTTCTACAAAAGAAAGACTTGTAATCTGTCTAAGGTAAGAAATATTTATTTTTTTATATACATGTTCATTGCGTTATTATTATGAAAATCAATCAAAATCAGCTGAGTTGTAATCAGATGTCGATGCTCCAAAATTAGTTACATGTAGAATATCGATTTCGCGTAGTGGTTGACGTAGCTGCTCAGGCTGTTGCAGGTATGATGAAGTACTGTTAGATAAATCTATAACGGCTACTGGGGATGAATCTTCGGGCACAGAATTGGGTACTGCATAGCAGACGGAGTCTTCGGTACTAATAATGGAATAATGTGGTGAATTCAATATCTGGACGTTTTCTTGCAGTTCCTCTGTTTCTATGCTTGCAAATAACTTGGCTAGTTCTACTTTGGTTTTAATCTGTTTGCCTTTGGAAAAACTTTTAAATGTTTGGGCATAATTTTGGAATAGGTGATCTATGGCATCATACTCTTGTTTTTTTTTTTGAAGAAAATTTATAACTTTATTCATTTCGCTGTCAGTTTTTTTTTATTTTCTTAGCTCGTGAACTATTTGTGTCATTTGTTTGGGGCGTCTCTAGCGGAGGTGTTTCTGGCGGGGGTGCGCTTTGTGTTCTTGGTGGAGGTGTCTGTGGTGGAGGCGTCTCTGGAGATTGAGTTTCTATAGCTGACGATGTTTCTGGTGTAGGTTCTCGAATATTTGAAGTTGTTTCTCGATCTGTCAGAGTTGAGTCAAGGAACTGTAACTGGGAAGCCCAATGCCATTTTGTAAATTTTTTTGCAGTTTGTCCTGTAGTACCTGCAACCTCTTTTTTGTATCTCATATAATTGTCCCTCAAGCTCTTCCATTTTTTTTTAGCTACTTCACCTGTAAAATAAACATAAATTGTATTATTTTGTTTCAGGTACTTAGCTACGGGTGATTCACATCAGACCATAGCCTTTTCCTTCCAAGTAGGTCGTTCAACAGTCGGTGGTATTATAAAAGAAGTCTGTACAGAAATCTGGAATACATTACAACCAGAATATATACCATCGCCTACTGAAGAGACATGGAAACAATCAGAGAAGGGTTATAGGGAAACCTGGAACTTCCCGAATTGTGTCGGTAGTATTGACGGGAAACATGTCTCTATAAAGTGTTGGGACACTTAGTGGACAAATAGTGGATCAGAATATTTTTGCTACAAGAAGTTTTTTTCTGTAGTTCTTCTTGCTATAGTCGATCCATGTTACAAATTCACCGTCATAGATGTCGGTAGTTACGGGCGGCATAATAATAGCGGTATATTCGAGAATTCAATATTTTATCGGCAATATATACACAGAAAATCTCTGCTAGATAAACCTCTTCCAGGCACCGAGGAGCCCGTACCTCATGTACTTATCGACGACGAAGGTTTTGCTTTAAAAACATATTTGATGCGTCCATTCCCAAGAGCCTTAGCTACACAAGACGAAAGAAAAACAAATTTTAATAAAAGACTTTGCAGGGCACGTCGGATGGTTGAAAATACGTTCGGAATATTAGCACAAAAATGGCGCATTTTTTACGACCTATTGACTGTGATGTGGACACAGCAATTGATATTATTAAAGCTGCATGTTGTTTACATAATTACTAACGAACAAAACAAGGTACAGCGATATTAACTCCGGAGTCGGAAGACGAAAACGTACCTATGCGTGCTCTAATAACTCATCGTCCACCAAATAGAAGATCAACGACTGCAGCATTCGAAACTCGTGAACAATTTGTGTTTTATTTTAATCAATAAACGATTTTTTTACTTACCAGTTTCATTAATTTCTTCTCCGATTTGTGCCCACAATTTTGCCTTCATTGATATATCTTTATACGAACTATCCTTCGTATTATATAAGCATGGATATTTTCTAAGCAATTCTACCAAATTTTCGATCATTATGCAGTATTTTATTATTATTTTACACCTATTCACTCCGACGCTAAAATAAAATTTGTAAAAAAAATACAACACCCGACGTTAAAGCGTCCTAACGCCGCGACAGAGCGTTGCGTACTGCTAGCGTCGGCGCTCTGTTTGACGGTATTCTACGATGGTAGTACAACACATCTTAGCGTCATAGCGCGGCGTCAAGTTAACGCTCTGACGCGCGCTAAGTACGCGTCCTGTCTGACAAAGCCTTAACTTATCTTATCTACAAAAAGAAATGAGATGCCATCAAAACATAACTTGTAAAAAAAAACAAGTCTCGCAACTCAGTCCTTCTACCGTAAAAAGTTGTGAGATACATGTAATACCAAGTCGGTTAATTTATTCAGTCCCTGCTTAAGGTGTTTTAAGTTATTATGTAATTAGCTAACCTAACAACATTTATAGTGACCATATCGATGTTAAAAATCTTATATGTTTTAAATTTATAGATTGACTTGGCAATCGCACTAAGCAATCTCATCATCATCATCATCATTACAGCCCTTCACAAGTCCACTGCTGAACATAGGCCTCCCCCAAGTAATGCCACAACGCACGGTCCTGAGCCACCTGCATCCATCGACTTCCTGCATGTCTTACCAGGTCGTCACTCCATCTAGTGGGGGGTCGCCCTACACTACGCCTACCGGTACGAGGCTGCCACTCGAGAACCTTTCTTCCCCATCGGTTATCGGTTCTTCGAGTTATATGGCCGGCCCATTGCCACTTCAGCTTACTAATCCGTTGGGCTATGTCGATCACTCTGGTTTTACTGCGGATATCCTCATTTCTGAGTCTATCACGCAGAGAAACTCCGAGCATAGCCCTCTCCATAGCTCGCTGAGCGACCTTGAGCGTCCTCATACGGCCAGCAGTAAAGGACCACGTCTCTGATCCGTAAGTCATCACTGGCAACACGCACTGGTTGTACACTTTAGTTTTCAGAGATTGAGGTGTACCTGATGAGAAGATGTGCCGTAATTTCCCGAACGCTGCCCAGCCGAGTTGAATTCGTCGATTGACCTTTCCGTCGAAGTTGGACTTAGCTAGTCGGACTATTTGTCCCAGGTAAACGTACTCATCAACAACTTCGAGCATAGTGCTCCCCACAACTACCGGCATAGGTGTGACATGGACATTGACCATAATCTTTGTTTTGTCCATGTTCATCTTAAGACATATCCGTTGGGAGACACCATTGAGGTCATTGAGCATAGTGCTAAGGTCCTCCAGCGATTGTGCCATAAGGACTATATCGTCGGCAAATCGAAGGTGAGTGATGTACTCGCCATTGATGTTAATACCGTATCCTTTCCAGTCCAGTAGCTTGAAAACGTCTTCCAATGCAGGGGTGAAGAGTTTCGGGGATATAACGTCACCCTGTCTTACACCTCTCTGCAGTTGGATAGGTTTCGAACTCTGGTTCTGTACTCGGATAGCCATCGTAGCCCTACTGTACAAACACTTCAGCACCTCGATATACCGACAGTCAACTTGGCACCGTTGAAGGGACTGTAGCACCGCCTAAATTTCGACGGAACAAAGGCTTTCTCATAGTCCACATACGCCAGGCAAAGTGGCAGATTGTACTCTTCGGTCTTCTGTACAATCTGCCGCAGGTTATGTACGTGGTCTATGGTACTGAAGACTTTTCGGAAACCGGTTTGTTCGGGAGGCTGGAAGTCGTCGAGTCTGCGTGCGAGACGATTCGTAATGACTCTCGAAAACAGCACGTAGACGCGGCTCAGAAGGGAAATCGGTCTGTAGTTCTTCAAGAGAGCGTTATCGCCTTTCTTAAAGAACAAGACCACCGCACTTCTGCTCCACGCCTCCGGAGTAGTGCCGCCATGGAGGACGGAATTGAAGAGCTTCTGAAGGACTTCAAGTACCGGTGTTCCACCCGCTTTCAGAAGCTCCGCTGTAATTCCATCCTCGCCTGGGGCCCTGCCGTTTTTAAGGTGCTGGAGAGCCATTCTAATCTCGCTCAGACTGACGTCCGGGATATCATCGGAATAAGCAATCTAATTTAATATAATATGTATTACTTGTGAGATACATTGTGTTTTCTTGCGATGGCCAAGTCAATCTATTTAGTAGTACAAACTGTGTATTAAAAAGTGTCCGTAGAAAACCGTTAAATAAGGGTGGCGCCTCTGTAGCTACGGGGTAAATTTTAAAGAACGCGCCGAAAAATATTAGTGGGATAGACGACTTTTTCGAGGTTATATTTACTAAATAAAATTATTTTAGATTTTAGAGCTACTAAGCAGTTTAGCAGCACACTTCACACCGTCGTCGACTGTTAAGTTCATTTCATGTAGCTATTTCCTGTAGCTACTCCAGCGCTGTTGTGGAGAGTTTTTGAACTGTAATTTATTGCTTACAGACGGACACTTTTTCAACTATTCTCCTATGAGAGATTGTTCTCCTTACCTCTACACTCCATAGTTGATGTTGATCATGGAGGTCAGAGAACAGGAGAACGATCGCTAGGTGCTAAAGCATAGCCCACCTGTCCCTGAAAACTTGTAGAATTTATAGCCGCACTGCCGTCGGTAAGTACCTAGTATCTACGAAGAAAATTTTTAATTATTGACAAAAAGAAACATTATCATATGTTGAAATATTATTAAAAAAAAAATAATAATAAATCAACAATAAATAATAATTTATATTTGTAATAATTTATATTATTTATAATAATTAAAATTATAAAAGCATAATTTATTTATTAATAAATTATAATCACTTCGTTATTTTCTTTTTTTTTTTCTTTGATTGATATAATCATTTCGAACTAGCGTACAACAACAGCCCGCTTTTATTGAGACAACTTAGCGATCGCAGTGCCTCACTTATTTTTCCATATTTCAGGGATACTATGTTCTAAAGCGATCGTTCTCCTTATGGAGTTTAGAAGTAAGGAGTACAAACTGTGTATTAAAAAGTGTCCGTAGAAAACCGTTAAATAAGGGTGGCGCCTCTGTAGCTACGGGGTAAATTTTAAAGAACGCGCCGAAAAATATTAGTGGGATAGACTACTTTTTCGAGGTTATATTTACTAAATAAAATTATTTTAGATTTTAGAGCCACTGAGCAGTTTAGCAGCACATTTAAACCGTCAATAACTGCTAAGTTCATTTCATCCCAGTAGTAGCTACTCATCCAGCGCTGTTCAGTTGAGGAGAGTTTTTGAACTGTTATTTACTGCTAATAGATGGCCACTTTTTCAACTATTCTACTATGGGAGTTGGTACTCCTTACTTCTACACTCCATAGTTCTCCTGTTCTCTATATAGTGTTGCCAAAATGACGGGTTTCTCGTTAGATTTGACGGGACAGCGAGGTTGGCAACGGAAAAAAATTGTGTTTAACGAATATCGGATTTTTTAAGGAGACGACAAAATTAATGTTTTTTTAGATTTGTTTTAGAAATAAAAATAATTTGGAAATGGCAAAAATTAAATTATAATTTTATTATTTTTTTTTGTTTAAAAATACGAAAAAATGTGCAATACATTCTTATTTTTAAAAAGTTGGGAGAGTAAATTTTCATTTGACGTAATTCTTTTAAATACAGCTGGGAAACTGTTTTGTCGTTGGTCAACCAAAATGACTGTCAACTACTCTATTTATTTCATTCTCTTTCTTTACTGTATGAGTCGCATATCCTGTGAACCTGTGATATCCTTGAAAGTCAATAAGTTTTAGTTCGATAAAATGACTTTATTACCTATAGCATGTAGTAGATGGCGCTATTACAAATCTCAAATAGAAAATGTTCGGTTCCCAATGGATCTCACAGACTCAACAGAGTACTGGAGCCCGAAGTGGTCCATTTGAATGATCGATCCGAATGTATCAGTTCGCGTGACGAAATGTACTAGAATAATTCGGTCACTGGATATGAATGATTGACACTTGTCTACCATACTTGACGGGATTTGACGGGATTGTAGTCTCTATAATGGGAGCTAGATTTTAATGTTGGCATCACTGTTATCTAACCTCCATGATGTTGATCAATGGGTGCGTTCGGCAGAAAAAAGCGCTTACTAGCGCTAAAATAGTTTTCAGGACACGATTGCTACTTCAGTAGCGCTGACACAATCCGCCATTTTGCTTATTTTTTGAAGTAGAGTTTATAAGTTGTTTTTTTGCAATATTAGTTTTAAGTAATATAATGACATGAATAGACATATACATTTTATTAAAAATTCATGATTGGTAAGTTTTTAGTATGAGTACTTCACAAACATATATTTAAATTAGGTTAGGTTCCCCGGTTAAAACTAACATCGTGTCCTAGAGGAAAATAGCTACTTACAATTTGATAGCGCTTACCGCTTACGATCGCCATTTTGCTTACAAGCGCTTGCTAGCGCTTTTTTCTGCCAAACGCACCCAATGTTGATGCTTGTCAAAATGTCAAAAATGTCAAATGATAATGAAATCAGTTTTCAGCTTTTCAGAATTCAGATTCGGGATCAGTAAATTAAACTTAAATTACCGAAAAAACCAAAACTTATATAGTGATTATTCTTGGTATTTAAGTGTAACATTTTTGGTGATTTTAATTAAGCGCTAGATATAATAGTGTTCTGTGATTAAGGGATCGTAAATTGTATTCTTATAATGGCAAAGAGGTCAGCTTCTACTGCCTTTGATATGGAAGAACCCAGTCAATCAAAAAAAGAAGGAAAGAAGCATTCTTTAGATTCTGATGAAGAAGATAGTGGCGCAGAAGAAGAAAAGAATAATGTTCTTAATGCTGACGATATTGAAGGTGAAGAAGAAGGAGTCGGCGGAATGGAAGGTGAAGTGAGTAAAAATTCTTACCACATGAAAAACAATCAAATTGTTTGCTGTTAATGCTTACTCATCATTGCCTACAACACCTGAATACTATATTGTAAAAGTAATAACTCTCTGAAAACAATATAACATAAAGCAAATCCTACGTCTAT